AATGGTAACAACAGTCCTAAGTCATATAATAAACCCTTGATCAATTTTAAGCTCCAACAACTTCACATAGTGATTCTATCATTTTCTAAAAACATATTGATACGTCCCTAGTCAATAAGGTATTAGAAAATGAAACGATCTCTACTTACGAATACAACTACTACTATGCATACTTAAAGCATACAGGGGCTTCTGTGGTGGCTCAGTGGCAAAGAATTTACCTGCCAAATCGAAGCAGACACAGGTTCGATCCCTGGTCTAGGAAGATCGCACATGCCAAGGAGCATCTAAGCTGGTGTGCCCCAACCACTCAGGCTGTGCTCTGGAGCCCAGGAGCCACAATTACCAAGCCCATGTGCAGCAACTACTGAAACCCACATGCCTAGACCCTGGGCTCTGCAATGAGAAGCCACCACAATGAGAAGCCCTCACACTACAACTGGAGAATAGCCCCCACTCGCCACTGCAACTAGAGAAGAAGTCCACACAGCAAGGAAGACCCAGCATAGCCAAAAAAATTAATGAATAAATAAAAATCATTTTAAAAATAACAGAAATGCATATATGTGCGCCAAAAGATATGTACAAAGATGCTCACAGCTGCATTATTTGCAACACCCCTCCCCAAGAAAGAAACAATCCAGATGTCCACCAACATTACAATGGATCAACTGTGATATAAAAACTTCACATATACCAATGGAAATGAACAAACAACACAGTATGGATGAAACTCACATGGTGAAAGAAACTAGATAAGAAATAGATGTATGATGTCACGTGTATGTCTGTGTGTGTTGAGTAACAGAGCAGTTAAATGGTTAACCATTTAACTTGGGGATAACAGAGGGCATACTGATTAGGAAGTAACCTGAGGGGGTTTCCAAGATGCCATGATGTGTTAAGTCTTGCCCCAGACAGGTGGTGGTTTCGTGGAGTTGAATGTGTTTAAATTTCAGTAATTCGTGCTCGCTTCGGCAGCACATATACTAAAATTGGGACGATACAGAGATGATTAGCATGGAAGAATGAAACTAGAACACTTCCTAACACCATACACAAAAATAAACTCAAAATGGATTAAAGATCTAAATGTAAGACCAGAAACTATAAAACTCCTAGAGGAGAACATAGGCAAAACACTCTCCGACATAAATCACAGCAGGATCCTCTATGACCCACATCCCAGAATTTTAGAAACAAAAGCAAAAATAAACAAATGGGACCTAATGAAACTTAAAAGCTTTTGCACAACAAAGGAAACTATAAGCAAGGTGAAAAGACAGCCCTCAGATTGGGAGAAAATAATAGCAAACGAAGCAACAGACAAAGGATTAATCTCAAAAATATACAAGCAACTCCTCCAGCTCAACTCCAGAAAAATAAATGACCCAATCAAAAAATGGGCCAAAGAACTAAACAGACATTTCTCCAAGGAAGACATACAGATGGCTAACAAACACATGAAAAGATGCTCAACATCACTCATTATCAGAGAAATGCAAATCAAAACCACAATGAGGTACCATTACACGCCAGTCAGGATGGCTGCTATCCAAAAGTCTACAAGCAATAAATGCTGGAGAGGGTGTGGAGAAAAGGGAACCCTCTTACACTGTTGGTGGGAATGCAAACTAGTACAGCCACTATGGAAAACAGTGTGGAGATTTCTTAAAAAGCTGGAAATAGAACTGCCATATGACCCAGCAATCCCACTTCTGGGCATACACACCAAGGAAACCAGATCTGAAAGAGACACGTGCACCCCAATGTTCATCGCAGCACTGTTTATAATAGCCAGGACATGGAAGCAACCTAGATGCCCATCAGCAGACGAATGGATGAGGAAGCTGTGGTACATATACACCATGGAATATTACTCAGCCATTAAAAAGAATTCATTTGAATCAGTTCTAATGAGATGGATGAAACTGGAGCCCATTATACAGAGCGAAGTAAGCCAGAAAGATAAAGACCATTACAGTATACTAACACATATATATGGAATTTAGAAAGATGGTAACGATAACCCTATATGCAAAACAGAAAAAGAGACTCAGATGTATAGAACAGACTTGTGGACTCTGTGGGAGAAGGCGAGGGTGGGATGTTTCGAGAGAACAGCATCGAAACATGTATATTATCTAGGGTAAAACAGATCACCAGCCCAGGTTGGATGCATGAGACAAGTGCTCAGGCCTGGTGCACTGGAAAGACCCAGAGGGATCAGGTGGAGAGGGAGGTGGGAGGGGGGATCAGGATGGGGAATACATGTAAATCCATGGCTGACTCATGTCAATGTATGACAAAAACCACTACAATACTGTAAAGTAATTAGCCTCCAACTAATAAAAATAAATGGAAAAAAATTTTTTCAATAATTCACTGAGCTGTATGCTTTCTATTTGTGTACGTTTATGAATGTATGATACATACTGCCTCCAACCCCAATTAAAAAACTAAACTATAGGGACTTCCCTGGTGGTTCAGTAGCTAAGACTCCACGCTCCTAACGCAGGAAGCCTGGGTGTGATCCCTGGTCAGGGAACCAGATCCCACATGCCACAACTAAGAGTTTGCAAGTCTCATAAAAAGATCCCTCGTACAAAAAAAAAAAAAAAAAAAAAGGAAAAAAAAAAAAAGATCCCTCGTGGTGCAACTAAGATCCAGCCAACCAAGATCTGATGCAGACAAATAAATAAAATAAAAATAAACATTAAAAAAAAAAAACTAACTAAGCTGTAGAACTTAGAGATGCATATTTGGGTATTATAACTCTAAAGAAAAGCAAGGCTATATAACAGTTAGAATCAACACTATCTTAGAGGGATGAGAGACAGTGATTGAGAGTAAGCTCAGGGGAACTTACGCTATCTTAACCTGAAGAGTGGTTATGCAGATATTTGCTTTATGATAAATCACTGAGCTATACGTTTATTTTAATGCACTTTTCTGCATGTGAATTTTATGTTACAACACAACAGAATAAAAAACAACCTCAAGGAATGAGTTTAATAGCAGATTAAACATATATGAAGAATTAACTAAAAGGTTAGAAGACATAATCTGGAACACAGCACAGAAACAAAAATATGGAAGAGACAGACTAGGCGATGTGAACATTGGAGTATAAAATGCAGCATGTTTAAATGGAGTTCCAGAGGAAAGGAGAAGGAAAGCTAATATTGAAGAGTAGCAGAGAATTTTCTAGAACTAATGAAAGACACTAAACCATAGATTTAAGAAGCTCACCAAATCCAAAATAGCATAAATAAAAAGAAATCTAGGGACTTCCCTAGCAGTCCAGTGGTTAAGACTTCGCCTTCCAATGCAGAGGGAGCAGGTTAGATCCCTGGTTGGGAAGGCAAGATCTCATAATGGAAGCCAGAGAAAATAACCATCAACTTAAATCCAGCTCAGAGAAAATACTTGTTAAGAATGAGATGAATGTAATTTACCATATTAACAGAATAAAAATAGAAAACTCATCTAATTATCTCTAAAGATGCAGGAAAATATTTAATGAAATTCAAACTCACTTTATGATTAAAACTCCAAGGAAACTAGGAACAGAAAGGAACTTCCTCAACCTGACAAAGGGCAGGTATGGAAAGACTACAACTAACATACCTAATAGTGAATGCTTTCTCCCTGAAATTGAGAACAAGACAAGGATGTCTGTTATTACTTTTTTTTGTTGTTCTCACTTTTTTCATCACTGTACTGGAGATTCTGACCAGTGTGATAAGGCAAGGAAAAAACAATGAAAGCATACAAATTGAAAAATAAGTAAACAGTAGAAGAAAAAAGGGAATTTTAAAAAAAAGGCAATACAGTAAGTGAGAAAGAAAGAAATTTAGAACAGAGGAGACAAATATAAAGCACAAAATAAGATAGCAAATACTGAATACAATCCAAGAAATCCAATGATTACCTTAAACTTTAATGGAATAAATCTTCCTGTTTTTTAAAGCTATCAGAATAGATTTTGCAGTCCTCTTCCCTGGTGGTGCAGTGGATAAGAATTCACCTGCCAACGCAGGGGACACAGGTTCATTCCCTGGTCTGGGAAGATCCCCCATGCCTCAGAGCAACTAAGCCTGTGTTCCACAACTACTGGGTCTTCGCTCTAGAGCCCCGGAATCCCAACTACTGAAGCCTCCATGCCCTAGAGCCCACGCTCTGCAACAGGAGAAGCCACCAGACTGGGAAGCCTTCACACTGCAACTAGAGAGTAGCCCCCACTCACCGCAGCTAAAAAAAAGGCCCGTGCACAGCAACGAAAGCCCAGCACAGCCAAAAATAAAAAAATAAAAATTTAGAATAAAAACTAAGGGGTTCATTTTGCCCACAGAATATAAACTTTACAACACACACACAAACGAAAGAACACAACAGACTGGAACAAGAAGGGAGTGCAATAGTCATGGATGATTAAAAGATGTGTAAGATGGTGGGGGTTTGGACTTGCCCAAACCAATGATGATCACTTGCCATGAGCTGAGGAGTGTGACCACCTCAACTCTCTGGGGCCAAACACAAGAAACACACAGAATGGCAAAGGAAGACACACATGGGACCCCTTGGTTCCAGCCTACAAAACAGTTTAAACCCCAGATGCTTAAACCCATGGGCCACGGCAAGTGGACACAGGTATGGCCCACAGTGGGATACACACCCATGCACAGTGCCCTCCACGGTCCACAAGGGGAGACCTGCACAGATCACATACAACCCCCACCAGGTGCATGCACACACTGCGCCGTACACTCGCGCCAAGGGGCCCACCCTGAGGACATGGGGTAAGCCACAGGGCTGGCTGAGGCCACGGCCCCCTGAGAAACTGGCTCAGTGCTCGAGGCTGGGGGGAGAGGCGCAAGGGATCACAGGAACAGAAGGTCCGGGGGAGTCCAGCGAGGGCTCCACCATCATCCCGAGAGGACTGAAAGGCTGGAGGGGCAGGCTCAGGCCGCCCACCTCGTGACCTCAGGTGCACTCACCTGGCCTCCGGAGAACGGCAATCTTCCCCCATCCACACAACCTGCTTCAGCACGTCCGAGCAACAGTACTGGTCATGACAGCTGCCGCAGCAGAAAACAGGACAGACCCAAGGGTCGACCTTGCGCCCACGAGAAGTCATACACAGCTGACTATGGGCTGGAACACATAAAAACACTGTTCACCCATGGCCATGGGGCCAGCCTTCAACCCTGTCCCAGCCCACACCGCCCCTTCCCCAGCAAGGCCAGCAGGCATGGGCAGCCGGGCCGCCTCCACAGCATCTTCTGGCCAATGCCCCAACCAGCCTCGCCCTCTCCCATGGACCACAGCAGAGGTGTCCACCTGGGCCCCCTCCCTCTCCCATCAGTGCACTGGCCCTCCAGATGGGATGGTGAGCTTTCTACATTTGGGTCCGACTCAGCCATTCCTCAGCTTCAAGCCAGGGGATCAAGCCCAGGCTCCACAAAGCAGCATCCAGACTGCAAAGGACCTTGAAGGTCACCCCATCCTCCCTCTGCAAATCAACTTACCCTTCGAGGTCTTCCTCTAGGCCCCCTTCTATGGGAGCCACCCAAGCCCAGCAGTCCCTCACATGTACTTGGGGACCAGGCACTAGACTGACCCATTTTCTTCTTCCTCTTCTTTTTGGCCATGCCACATGGCATGTGGGATCTTACTTCCCCGACCGGGGTTCGAACCCAGCCCCCTGCCCTGGAAGCACAGAGTGGGCTGAGCTGTTCTTAATCCCCACGTTCTGTCCCCACCTCTCAGCTGTGGCAAGCTGTGGCAGCCTCGGCCCCGGCTGGACACTCCGACTGCAAGGGCCAGCCCTCACAGACCATCGCCTTACAGCAGGCTGTCTCCCGACCAGTTTACCATCGGCCGCAGTCACTCCCACCACAGAAATGTCCGGGTCGTGTCCCAGCACTGCTACTGGGCCTGCAGCAGGCGGCTAGGAAACGTCCATGCCCCAGCAGCCAGAGCTCTGAGGCGAGGGCACCATGTGGAGCCCCAGAACCATCACATGGCTCTTAGCTAGAGGTGGGATCTTAGCACACCTGGCTGACAGGTGTGGAAACAGATCACAAAGTTTGTAGACTTCCAGGAAGCTGCTACAGCCAAATGTTCCCACGCACCCTTAGGCTACATCAGCACAGACCTGGTATCCACTAGCAGGAGAGAACGGTCCTGGATGCTACCCTGACAGACCCTAAATGGAACACCCAGTCCAGCAAGGCCCAGACAACTATGGTAGACTGGGGATGGTCCTGATGATAAGCCCTGAGGTAGAAAGCGATGGAACTCTAAGAACCCTGTCTGACCACACCCCCAGGGCAGCGGGCAGCATCTGGAGACCCAGCCTGGTTGGTGTATTTGTCACTTCCAAACATTCCTCTTTGGGCTAAGGATGATTTTCCACAGTTTATTTTTAAGAAATTGTAGACAAAGGAGAAGCTCTGAAAACTGAGTAGGAGTTACCCTTTTGTAATAGATATTTGCAAGTATAAAGAAATCTCCATTTGTAAGGGAGATTAGCCTGTGGCTCAGTGGTAAAGAATCCACCTGCAATTGCAGGAAAGATCCCCCGGAGAAGGAAATGGCACCCCACTCCAGTATTCTTGCCTGGGAAATCCCATGGACAGAGGGGCCTGGCGGGCCACAGTCCATGGGGGTCACAAAGAAACTAAGCAACAACTTCACTGCCATACTAGGAAGAGGGTACGGACCTTATCTTTAGAAACCTATCAAGGCTGCAGGCATAGATTTCAATCTGTGTAACAATTTTACCCTTCTTTACTGGGTTCTTTCTCATGACTCCCAGTATCCACTTTGGCCTTTAGTTCAAGACAGCATTCAAGGTGAGGGCTTCTACCATTTGGGCAAGTTACTGTTTCCTCGGGTCTCCATCATACTGGAGTACACTGGTAGTGTTAGTCACTCAGTCATGTCCAACCCTTTGTGACCCCATGGACTGTAGCCCGCCAGGTTCCCTCCTCTGTCCATTGGATTCTCCAGGCAAGAATACAGAGTGGATCACCATTCCCTTCTCCAGAGGATCTTCCCAACCAGGAATCGAACCTGGGTCTCCTGCATTCCAGGCAGACTCTACCATTTGAGCTACAGGGAAGACCTATTCCACCATTTGAGCGAGTTACTCAGTTTCCTTGGGAATCAAACCTGGGTCTCCCGCATTGCAGGCAGACACTTAACCATTTGAGCGACAGGGAAGACCTATTCCACCATTTGAGCGAGTTACTCAGTTTCCTTGGGTCTCTCATGCATACCAGAGGTATACGTGTAGTTCAACTTTTATTTTTCTCCTGTTCATCTGTCTTAACATCAATGTAATTATTAAACCAGCCAAAGAACCTACTACAGGGCAAGAAGAGGAATTCTTTCCATACCAACAGTATCAAGCACCCTGGGGCCACTGGTGGAGAAAGGTCCAAAGACAGAGGCATTGACTGACCTCCTTGAGAAGGCACAACTAGATAGCAGGTGGTGCTCTGGGCAAAGCTGCAGGGCAGAGGGTGGGACCACCAACAGGCCCAACCTAGCCGGCCTTCCACCTGGCAGCAGGTATGGCCAGCACAGCCCATCCTACTGGGTAGCTCAGGAGACCTACCTCCTTTTATAGACTTTACAGCCACAGCCAGCCCAAGCTTCTAAGCTGGGCCTGAAGACACAGACAGGTTGAGTGTTTGAGCCAAAAGTCCATGACACAAATGTTCTTCTGATCCCCAGACACTCTGAACCAGGGTCTCCAGTCCTCACTGGAACTTCTCACTCCAAGCCCTCCAGATTCATCCCCGTCCCCAGGAAATAAAGTCCTTCCCTGGGAGAACAACACCCACCCCAGAAGGATCTTAAGCCTCCTAGGAAGACGGGTGGGGCAGGGGGAGGGCACTCTTCTATTTCCCTATCCTTAAAAGTTCCCCAGCTGGGCCTCCACCGTCCAGGATTCATCAGTCTACAATCAACCTACAAGAGCTAAGTGTCTCATCCAACCTTGGGGGCCAGCCTGAGCGGTCTCCAGGACCGCCAGGCCAATGGAGGCAGAAGGTGGAGGCTCCCAGCCAATAAACTGAGGCCAGGGAAGGCCTCAGATGCAGGGGCCAGACCTCCCTGCAGCCACCAACCCTCGCTAAGACCGAGCAGGAAATCCCACCCCAGCCTCTGAGAACGCCAGCCCTTGGGACCCCAGAGGACAGGCCTCCCCCCCAGCCACCACCAGCACCACCACGCCAGGGCAGAACAATGACGGCAGATGCCCAGATGGCTGGGCAATGTCAGTGCAGACGGGAGGGAGGCTGGGGTGGGGGAGAGACCAGTCGTGGGGTCCGCACACTGCCTCGGGGTTATGAGGCTCCGTTGGGGTCACTGGGGGGACGGCGCCGCCTCGGCTTGCAACCAGGGACGGCGCGGACATGGCCGCCTCCCCTGCCAGCCCGGGACGAACTCCCCGCCACCCGCCAACACTCACCTCCCTCAGGCGCCGGGAGCAACAGCAGCAAGAGCAGCAGGATGCGGGGCGCGGGGGCCGGCGCGGCCATGGCTGGGAGCGCAGGGGGACGGACGGACGGACCAGCAGACGTCCCGGTGCAGCCGCGAACCTCAGCGACCCGCGCGGCCGCTGGCTTCCTCGCCCCGCCCCGGCCGTTCCGGGAACCCCGCCCGGGGGGGAGAGGAGGGACGGGCGGAGGGGAAGCGGACGCGCCTCCCAGCCTCGGGGCCGGGGACGCGTCCGGTGTCGGCCCCTCTGGGGACAGGGTCCCGGACGCAGGCGACCACCCAAGCTGCCTTCGATTCTCTCAAGGGGGCCCCTGTGCGCTCCCACCCCGGCCCCCGCCCTCGGGTCCCGAGACGGGTCTTCGCGGGGATCAGCTTCCTAACACTTGAGCGCCCATTGGGTGCTGCCGGCTAAGCCGGGATGGAGCCCCTCCCCGCCCCTCACCTGCCCGGACATCCTCGGTCCTTGCGAGGTACCTGAGGACCGAGTGGGACCGCCACAGCGCCCGGAGCAGACCTCCGCACACAGTAGGCGCCTAACAGACACAGGTTCCCTTCTGAAAGCCTAGTTTGGAGGCTTCTGGGGGACCCCATCTCTGAGGATACTCCATCGCCCTGCCTCCTGGGGTGACACCCCTATCCCGCAGGTCTCCTTACCCTGCTGCCAGGCAGGCTCACCCCTGCCTCAGGGCAAGCCTGGCTGGCCTGAGGGAAAGGAACTAGCTGCTTCCAGACACGCTGTAGGCCACCACCTGGCTCAGGGTTGGGCCAGTTGGCCCAAATCCTTGGGGGCTGCCAGAGCAGCCCGGCTGACCGCCCTCTCATTGTGGGTTAGGATGGAAAGGAACACGACCCTAAGGGGGCTTCCCAGGACAGACGTCTTCCCCATGTCCTCTGCTGCGTGGCTGCTCTCAGAAGTTCCTAGATAATACTATCTGATCCACACTTCCTGAGTTGTTTTATAGTTGCTAAAACTACCACCAAATGGAAAAAAGTAACTACTTGATGATCAGGCCCAGGTAGCCCCAGGATGGTTAACACCTGTGATGCCACCCTGTTACCTCACCATCCATCAATCCGAACTGCACATGTGCTGATGACATATGCTGCGATCCTATCCTTCACCTGGCCTTTGAAAACACTTTGCCAGGGCCTTCCCTGGTGGCTCGGCAGTAAAGAAGCCCCCCGCGGTGCAGGAGGCACCAGTGTGATCCCTGATCTGGGAAGATCTCACAGGCCGCGGAGCAACTAAGCCCGTGCCCTACAACTTCTGAGCCTGTGCTCTAGAGCCCAGGCTGCAGAAGTGAAAAGTGTTAGTCGCTCCGTCGTCTCTGACTCTGTGACCCCACGAACTGTAGCCCGTCAGGCTATCCATGGGATTTCCCAGGATAGGATACTGGAGTGGGTTGCCATTTTATTCTCTAGGGGATCTTCCCAACCCAAGGATCGAACCCAGGTCTCCTGCATTGGCAGGTGGATTCTTTACCACTGAGCCACCTGGGAAGCCCACGGCTCCTAAGACAAAGTCCTGATTTCAGTTCCTGCACTGACTGGGGCTCCGTGTGCCTCCTTGCTCTCTGCATCCACCACGCACATTCCCCCACCCTCCCTGGCTCCCAGCTTAAACAGCTCCTCCTCTAAGAAGCCTCTGCAGATGCCAAGTCTGAGTTAGGACTCCCCTAGGTGTTCCCACTGCCCTTGTGACCCCCAGCCCAGCACCACACCTAGGGGTTATGTGGGTGTCTTCTGCTACTTTGGGGGCTAAGTGAGGCTGGGACTATGTCTTGTTATCCAGCACAGAGCCAGGCACACAGTGGGTGCTTCATAACAACTGAAAAAGGAAATAAAGGATCTCCTCTAGCCCATGGACCACTTTCCCCTGAGCACCAGCCCAGAAATCACTCCCCCCAGGGGGTGGACTGACAGCACCCACAGTCCTCTCTGTGGTTTGCGCTCACCCCGCCCTCACTGCCCCCCGCACTGACCATGCTGGACTACAGGGGCTGGTGCATCTATCTCTGCCAAGAGCATACTCGATGGTGTTCCAGCCTGTCTTCTACTCTTCCCTGTATATCCTTCCTCTACCCTACCCTGTCCTGGGGCTCCCTCTTTCTCTCTCTCCCTTCCTCTAGAGTCAACAGAAGGCAGCTGCAGGAGGTCAGAAGGTGGGAGGAGAGTACATGGGTGGGGCTCTTCCTTCCCTAATCCTTCCGGAAACTTCCTGGGGGGCAATCAGACACACACATCCCCACCCCACTCCCTCAGCTACGGCTCCCTGCCTCCTTCCATTCAGAGCCAGGTGCTGAGAAACTGAGATTTTTATCTTGAGAGCCCCAGGGAGGGACTGATTGAAGAGACCCCTCTGTAACTCAGTTACAGCTCATAGCAACTGAATAGGTTGCTGCAACTGAGTTGCAGCTCACAGCAACTGAATAGGAGGTCAGGGGCCAGTGGGAAAGGGGGGTTCCCACCAGGTTCCAGTAACCCTTCCCCTCCTGAGCCTTGACCCTGCAGGCTGTAGACAGGAAACATTACCCAACACTCCTGTGAAGAATGTTGCCCACTATCTCAGTTCTCTTTCCTTCTTCCCTGGTGGCTCAGATGGTAAAGAACCCGCCTGTAATGCAGGAGACCAGGGTTTGATCCCTGGATCGGGAAGATCCCCTGGAGAAGGGAATGGCAACCCACTACAGTATGTTTGTCTGGAGAATCCCATGGACAAGGTGGGTCTAAGGTCCTGGGGGTCACAAAGAGTCGGACACAACTGAGCAACTAACACTTTCACTTTCATCCCAGTTCTACAAGAATCTAGCCATTAACTATCGCAGCAGACCATGGACGGTGCACCTGAGGGGAATTCGGGATGAGAAAATCAGGAAGCCTTCTGTGCTCTGGACACTGACCCTGAACAGTGAAGATGCATATCTAAGGAATAATTCCAATGAACCCAGTCCTTGCATCTTCCCTTACATAGAAAAACCAGGGTTGGAATCATTCATTTGAGGTGTCGGTTCCTTGTGATAGTAATCTACGTTTTTGTTTTTGCTAGCAAAATATGCCTGTATATCCTGTCTCCTCCCTTACCTCTTCAGAGCAACTCCTCAGCACTTTCTGAGATGCTGTCTTATGGGCTTTTGTCTTCATTAAGGTCCCCGAATAAAACTTGACTCACAACTTTCAGGTTGTGCATTTTTCTTCAGTCCACGAGGCCTAGGGATGAAAAGGGCTCCCAATGATGCTAGCCCTGGGTGCTGTCACCTAGATCCACCCACAGCTCTGTAAAGGGCCCTTTTAGCAAGCTCTCCTCTAATAAGCATTGTTAAGAATGACTATTTCCTGAGATCTTCCCTGGTGGTCCTACGGCTGGGACCCCATGCTCACAATCCAGGGGGGTAGGTTCGATCCCTGGTCAGGGAACTAGATCCCACGTGCTGCAACTCAGACCCAGCACAGCCTAAAATAAGTAAATAAGCATTTTAAAGAAAAAAAAGAATGACTATTTCCTGCTGGAACCTTTACACACAGAGTGTGGCAGCCACGCTATAGATGGGAACTCTGCCTGGGGCCAGGGCAATACCCAATGACTCCCAGAAAGCCCAGTGCCTGCCCGCCCCACCCCTACCCCTCCCGCCCTCACCAGCTTCCTCCATATCAGAAGGCAGAAATGCTTGATGCACTTTTCAGCTTTCTTTGTCCAGCCAATCAGACGTACCCTCCTGGGTTCAGAGGTCCCTTCCCTGAGGCATGCTCAGGGGGCTGGTGACCAGTGGCAGGACAGCAGAGTCTCTGCTGTGGTGGGGATCCTGGCAGCTGGGCAGCAGCCTGCAGTGTTCGCCAGAAAAGAACTGTGATGCGGGCATGACCTCTCTGTCTTGTCCTCCTGTGCCCTCAGTGGTTCTGGGAGGAACATACGTTCCTTTTCATAAAGCCCACTTCTGATTAGAGTCAGTTTCTTCCACCTGATAAAACTGTCAGCAGGTGACCAGGGAAATGGGGGTGCATCCGGACTGGACGTTTGCCTGGTTGGAGCCAGAGGCAGTGGAAATCCAGCCAAGATGAAGGGAGATGGCAGCCCTGGCAGGCTGAGACAAAACTAGAACAGCCATCACTGCCAGCATGGGACAGGTCTTCCCCGACTTAAGATGGGGCTACGTCCTGATAAGCCCCCTGTAAGTTGAAAATGTCATAAGGCGAAAATGTACTTAACACATTCAGGACATTGACTGCCTTCTCAGTGAGACCTTCTTACATTCTTACAACCCTGTCCCAAGCCCTCTGCTCTGTCCCAGCACCCTCTACTACATCTTTTTCTTTTTTTAATCTTTTCGCTGCACCCTGTGTTATGTGGGATCCTAGTTCACGAACCCGGGATCAAACCCCCACCCCTTGCATTGGCAGCTTGGATCCTTAACCACTGAACTGCCAGGGACCTCCTAATGCACTACATCATTACTCATCTCTCTGCTGTGTCTCCCAACACCAGAAAGTCAGCATTGTGAGGCAGGGAGTTTGCCCTTGTGGGGCTTCCCTCGTGGCTCAGATGGTAAAAAATCTGTCTGCGATGCAGGAGACCCAGGTTGGGAAGATTCCCTGGAGAAGGAAATGGCAATCCACTCCAGTATTCTTGCCTGGAGAATCCCATGGACCGAGGAGCCTGGCGGGCTACAGTTCATGGGGTCGCAAAGAGTCGGACATGACTGATGACTAATACTTTCACTTACTGCTGTATTCCTACCGCTTAGCACATGGCATGCACTTTATGTGCCAAGTTGATAAATGAGATGAAGATGGGTATGAACGAATCAGAGGAATCATATTGCCATCAACTTCCACCCCTTCTCCACGTCCCTTGCCCATCTAACCAAGGTGTCCTCCCCTCATACCTCATGAGGACGTTTCTTTGCAAGGGGAGTCAAGTCTTCTCAAGTCCCTCTCCCTGACTCCTTCTTAAATTAGAGGTGGATTCCAGCATGTGTGGAGACCTTATTACAAAGTCAAACCCAGGGGATGGCTTATGTATCAAAGGAAACTTAAGACTTTGGTATTTTACATTAGCTAAAATATACAGACTTTATGTGGGCAGAGACTTCATGTAGCATCTTAGGGCAGAATTTATCAATATAGGCGATCTTACCTGGAACTTGGGATTCAACGTGCTAGCATTAAGCTACTGGGGGTTGTTCTGCAAGTCTGGTTGCCTGACTGAAATGAAAACTGGGTCTCACTAAATGCAGTTGAGATGTCAGTTGCTTCCTGGTATAACATAAAGAATCCAAAGCTTCAGAAAGATTCACATATTCATTCAAAATAAATGTTGGGCTAAATTGATCCAGGACAACTCACCTTTTCTCTGAGTCCCTGGAGAGGACCCAGGAGATATTCCCTTCACCGAGGCTTTGGGAAGTCCATTGCTGAGAAGTTTCCATTTGCTAGGGCAGCTAAAACAAAGTACCAGGCTCTGAGTGGCTCCAAACACAGAAACTTACTGTCTCATAATTGTGGAGGCTGGACATTTGAAGCCATGCTGTCTCTGAAGGTGCTAGGGAATTTTGGATTAGGGTCACACCCTACTCCAGTATGACTTCATCTTAATTTGTGACACCTGCCTTTGGCCAGGATCAACAGGCCCCTAGGACCAAAACTGATGGGGAGCCAGTAGAATCCTACCAGATGAGTACAACAAAAGAACCAGAAGTCTGATGACCAGAGACCTAACTGCAGAGGACAGGATCTCTCACTAATTTTCCAGATCAGATCAGTTCACAATCCCAGAGATCACTGAAGGGAGCAGGGTGGGTGCCCGTTAAGGTGGGCCCTGTGAAAACAGCCCAGCTTCATGCCAGCACTTTCCTCACAAGCCTTCCCAAAGGGACCTGTGGCCATTAGCCAGGGTTTGGCAGACACCACTTTTGGTCTACCACAAAGCCATTTTCCACTTTTAATGGAACAATTTTTGCTTAAACAACAATGTGCCCAGCCTCAGGGGATGAATAGTGATTGGTCTAAACCAAAGATGGCAACACTCACCTTAAAGGTGATAATTATATATTATTAATGTGTAATATACAAGCCGATTATAAAGATAATTCAAATGTTGTTGAAACCTGTCTTTGTAACATTTCTATTCAAATACCCTCTGATCCTATCTTAAAATTCTTCAGCATAACCATATATCATTGCTCTTTCTAGATTGGGGGTGTGTGTGTGTGTTAGAATAGTGGACCTGAATTAAAATTCTGGTAGTGTTGTATTTGATTTCTTCTGTGGTTGCTTTGCTGTTAAAAACTTCAAAACCTTCTTCAAAAAGTGCTAGGAAGGGGACTTCCCTGGTGGCCCAGTGGTTAAGACTTCGCCTTCCAACATAGGGGATGCAGGTTCGATCCCTGGTCTGGGAGCTAAGATCCCACATACCTTGTGGCCAAAAAACCAAAGCATAAAACAAAAGCAATATTGTAATAAATTCAATAAAAACTTGGAAAAAAAAAAAAAAGAGTGCTAGGAACCCTTCAGGGAGGTCAGGTACCCACTCCAGGAACTCTATGCCCAGGGACAAGGTGGGGACAGTAACCTCACATATCAGGAAGATGGTCATAGCTGACATCACTCTGAGCCTAGTTCCCGTCATCCGCTGTAACACAGGCACCCTCTGCCCTGACACACCAGGAGAGGCACGTGCGGGCACCCAGCCACGCCCAGCTTCATCACGTCCCTGGAGGAACCTTGCTGTCAATACCCCAGCCCCGGGGCAGAAGGTGTGTAAATAAATAAAATGAAAGTCACTTAGTCATGTCTGGACCCCACTCATATAGTCCATGGAATTCTCCAGGCCAGAATACTGGAGTGGGCAGCCTTTCCCTTCTCTAGGGGATCTTCCCAACCCAGGGATAGAACTGGAGTCTCCTGCATTGCAGGCAGATTCTTTACCAACTGAGGTACCAGGGAAGCCCTATAAGGGAAGAAGGTATATGAAGTCCAACAAAATCCTAAGGCATGGGAGGGAGGGATAAATTAGAAATTTGGGATTAACATGCACCATATATAAAATGGATAATGAGGACCTACTGTAGAACACAGGGAGCTGTTCTCAACACTCTGTAATAACCTACATAGGAAAAGATCAGGAGAAGAATGAATATATGCAGAAGTGAATCACTATGTTGTACACCTGAAACACATAAATCAATTATACCCCCATGAAAAAAATATTTTTCCCTACTCTTCCCAAAATCTTTAAAAAAAAAAAATTTTTTTATTGCACAAGGGAAAAAAATTCTGAGGCAGAGGAAAGGGTACCCCTTGTCACCATCTTCCCCAAGCCAGAAGCAACAAACACCAGAGAACCAGCCAACGTGCTCCACCCACAGCCTTGTGTACCCCCTCCATCCTCAACCCCTCCCAAAGGATGCCAGTATTAAGGACCCACATTTCTAGGGACCCCAGATCCCCGCTATGTCTGTTTCTCACCCAGTGGTAAGGGCCCAGCAACCTGGGTTGGCCCAGAGAAAACTCGGGCCCTGCCCAGGGCTCACTCCAGGGCAGAACAGTTTCTGCTCCCAGGATGGGTAGGCATAGCAGTGGGAGCTGGACGAAGGGTCCCACCCAGACTTTCTGGGAGAGAGCGCAGCATGGGAGTCTGTAAGCTGCTGGAAAGAATACCTCACCAAGGGAGACCTAGCCATAAGACACAGCATTAGGGTGTTCTTTCTTTTTTTTTTTTTTTTTAAGTATTTATTGCAGAGAATGTTGGACACAGTGTGACGAGTGGCTGAGTTCCAACAACATCCATTCCAGGACGAGGAGGAAAAATGTCTGCAATAGGACCACATGGACCGTCCCGGCTATAAGCGGGCAGCTGGCCAGGTGGATGCTGCCCAGAAAGAGAACCGGCTTGGGGTGAGCCCCTGCTGGGATCCCAGACCTCCCTCTGCCCCTCCCAATCCTGTGACACATCTGGCCCTGGCAGCCCTCTGAACAGGGAGAAGAGGTCTCGCTGGTCTCACCTCAGTGAGCCTGAGGTCCCGGAGAGGTGGTGACATCTAGATGGACATGCCACTGAAAAGGGACCCACTATGGGCAACAAGTAAACTTGGCCGGAAGTCACCAAGACCAAGGCTGCCATAGAAACAAAGGCTGCAGTCCCCGAGTCCCAAAGACAGCAAGTGGCCCACTGGCCCCAGGTCTAAGGAACTCGGGGCTCCAATGGAGTGTCCCACCACAGCCCTGTCCTGGGCATCTCCCCACCCGGGGTTTGGCCAGAGCAGCACATCCAACTACAAATCCACACACTTTCTCACCCAGCCTCACAAGATGCTGGCCAGTCTGTTCTCCCAGCTACAAAATGGAGCTGGAATCAACTGCCCCAGCCCACCTCTCTGGGCTCCAGAGAACTCAGGGGCGTGATGGCAGGCTTCCCGAGATCATTTTCATCAGGCTCTTTTGTACAAGAATCAAAAGTGATGACGTGGCTGGGAAAATCATCCCAGACCAGGGGCTGACTCCGGCTCCCACCATTCCCAGGCTTCATCCCCCAGGTAGAAGTCAATGAATGCCAGGACAGGCTTTCCAAATCCTTCACAGCAAATGCAGGTGTGGCCACTGGTGTATACTCATGCGTGGATACCGGCAGCAGCACTCGAGGTAGCCGGTGGCACAGCTGGGAGCGAAAGAGGGCAGCCTCTCCCTCGAGCATTGGGAAGAGGGACGCGTACAACAGCTCTGTCCTTATGTCTTGATGTGTTGCACCATCTTACACGTTGCACCATGAGAGCAGTTGGGGCAGGGGTGGCCTTGGCCACTGGCTCCCACAAGTATTCCAGTGTAGGCATCATTGGGAAAGGGTAACCACCAATGCCCCCCTCCCTGTGTGTTTCTGGGCACCCCCATGTGCAGAAGTGAACACACTGCTTTCCCAAGCGTCTGCCGATGCAGACGCACGGACCCCAGGGTCTAGCCCGTGGAGGGGGCTGCCTGCCGTGGTGGAGGCTCTTCAGCTCCTGGTGGGGTGGGCTGGAGAGGGTTTACTCCTGCTGACTGAGGCAGAAGCAGCTCAGGATTCCCTGAAGATCTTGCCTCTGGCTCCAGAAGTGACTGCAGAAAGGGCAGCAGAACCCAGGCAGAGTCCCCAGGTCCACCCAGGCAGCACAGCCTTGGTGGCTGAAAACATCACAGCAAGTGCTTTCCGTTTCACATTTTTGGGGTTTCATGCTTCACAAGCGCCTGCCCCGGCCGGTGAGAGAGAACAGGAGGAGCAGGTGTGGGAGCCCTCTCACCGGCCGGGAGGCAGACGCGTTCAGGCCAAGCGATGCTCAGCAGCAGGTCAGACACCACGTATACAGCCCTGTGGCTGCCAACAAGGAAACAGGTGGGCTGGGGCGGGGCTTCTGGGTGCCACCAGCCAATCATGGCTCTGAGGGCGTTTCCTGGGCGGTGACTGACACACAGACCAGTGGGCCTGGAATGACTGCCCTCCACAGGGATCGACGCCCGCCTGGGGGTCACAGTGGACAAGATGCGGTCACTGGTGAGCCGGGACCGTGACGAGGGCTTCCTCCGGAGGCCGAGAGATGTCTACATTCTGCACAAAAATAGACACATAGAACACTGACCCTGTGCCAAGAAGAGACAGACACTGCTATCTGCTCTGCTCATCACTGCGGCTGCTGGACTCACATTCTCACCCTGAGGAGCCCCAGCTGCAGGACTTACAGCCCGGCCTTTCCTAAGAGCCGGGGGTCAAGAGTCGCTTGGCACGTGGTGGGTGGACAGACACCAGAATAAAGGTGGGAGGGGGAGGACCCCTCCAGTTACCGCTTGCTTCTTGCAGGCAGGTCAGGGGTTCCCCAGAGTGAGGCCATCCCCTCCTCCTGCCTCAGGTCTGGGTCAGGTGGGGAGACACACCTAGCTGGGGATTATATCCTCATTAGGGGGGCGGGAAGGGGACCAGCTCCTGGGAGTGCCCTCCTCCTGGCGGTGTCAGTGGGCAGGTGACAGATATGGCCCCAGCAGCCTGTGGGCATCTCTTGGTCTGCAGCTGGTCTGTCCCCTGAGGGCTGGGGCCCTGGGCCCCCGGCATGTCCTGAAACCACCACCGCCCCCGCCGAAACCAACAGAGGACTCAAGTTCACTCAGGAGGCCCTCAGCTGGGCCTGGCCGCGGCGCTGGCTGTGTCTGGACCCCCAGGAACATCCCACCACCCCAGCAGTGACCCCGCTGCTACCTGAGGCCTGTCTCGGTGTGTGTTCACGGCTGCCACATTCAGGAATATGGACTCCACTTTACAACCTGCCAAAGGGAAGACGCACATCCATTTCCCCTCCTGAAAGGCAGTTGCACCACAGGTAGAAGCTCGTCCCAGGAGACAGCCTGGGGTGCTGGGGACGGAGCATAGCCTCAGCCTTACCCCAGACCTCCCAGCTTAGGTATTTCTGGGGGCCCCCTGGGGAAGGATGAGGCACCTTGTCAGGCCCAAGCCTCCATGCCACTGCCCAGCGCAGACTCAGCGAGGAGTCCGGGCACCAGGCAGAGCCACGCTGAGGACAAGAGGCCTTCCTCGGGGTCTGAGGGTGTTCTGAGGAGCAACAAGCCGAGCTCAGTGAGGGGTCATTATGCACAGTTCTCAGGGCCCCCAAACCACCATACCCAGCCCTGTCGCACACACGAGACCAAATCACCATGATACCAGGCGCTCAGTGCAAAGGAGGACAAGGAGATTAACATACATTATAATTACATCAGCTACACTGAGCTTTGCAATTATTGCCCCAAGGACCCAACCACTGGTGCCTCTCCAAGTGCTGAAGGGGAGGAATCAAGACCAAGGAGGTTAGGAAGCTGCCCGAGGCCTCCGCTGGCAGAGCCCAAGGCAGAAGTACATATTCTAAGGTTCAGGTACTGGGTGCCATGGGGCTTTGTGGGGGATTCTAGAAAAACCAGTAGAAAAGCCCTTCCTGTGGCTGGGTGATGGTTAAGTTAATATCACCAGGGAGGCCTCCTGTGGCCACAGGAATTAAAAAAATTAAAAAGCAAACTGGGGTGTTATCCTTCCAAGAAAAAAAAAAGCACACTGGATCTTGCCTGGGAATTCCCATGGACAGCGGAGCCTGGTGGGCTACAGTCCATGGGATCACATGAGTCAGACAGCACTTAGCGACTAAACAAAAACATGGATTTGGCAGTTTCTGCTATGTCAGTGCTGTGAGAATTGAAATAATTAAAAGCATTATTTGTGATATATAGAAAACAAAAAGCAAACCAGGAAAAGGTGGTGGGGTGGCGGCAGGAGGAATGAGCTTCTAAAAGAATTTTCAAGGGAGGGGTTTGCAGACAGTCAAGGAACCGTGCAGAGAGCCAGGCTGGCCACCAGGTCAGCGTGCGGGAAGCTCCCTTACCGTAAGCCACGGGGGTCAGCTTCAGGACCGTGTGCAGCGGACACTTGAGGTAGGGCAGCTGCTCTGTGGACACAGGCAGGGAGGGTTGGCATCACGGAGGAGCAGGTGACAGTCCCCCACGATCTCTCACACACCCCACCTCCCCCGGTGGGGGCCGTGTCCGCACCTGCCGCCTTGTCAAGGAAGTAGGCCAGGAGGCAGCGCATCACAGCCTGGTGGCAGATGACCAGCACGTTCTCTTGCCGCTCCAGCTCCATGATGACAGGCTCGAGTCGCTGGACTAGGTCCTCGTAGGACTGTAACGGCAAGTGGGAGGCATCTCTCAGCCCAGCCCCGGGCATAGGCATGGACACGACCTGGGGAGGGGGCTACCTTCTCCTGGAACGCCTCGCCCTTCTGGGAGGTCGGGGAGGACTAGCAGTCCGACAAAGGGATCACCTCCCCCATCCCAGGGCCCGGTCCCAGTAGGATCAAGAGGGCAGGACTGGGGTTCAGGCTGCATCCAAGGGACCACCTCCCTGCCTACTCTGGGCCGTTCGCTGAACCCTCAGCTGCTGGAATTCACATGCTGTCCATTGATGACTGGTGGAAAAGACACTGCTTCCTGGCTGCCCACAGTACATGAAGTGCGAAGAATGAGCCTTGGGGGGCGGGGAAAGACAGCCCCCAAACGTGCCACAATGCAACCTGTCAGAACACCTGAGTTCCCAGGAAAAACCCTCACAGTCCAGTACGCCTCCCAGGTGCTATGAAGGGGCCCATGGGCCAACCTTGGGGCCTAGCAAGTTCAGAGCTTTACACTAGGAGACCCAGCCCTGGGGGTTCACCCTTCTTTGCACAGAGTGAGCAGTCCTATCAGAGGGAAAAAAAATAAAGGCCTCAAGCTTGGAGCTGCACTGGGCTCGCACTTTGATTGGGAATAACACCAACCTGATGTGTGTGGGTGCCCGGGGGTTCTGGGGGAAATCCTAGATTGATTCTTTTGGCAACTAACTGTCCTACCAGTTCCTGCCACCCCCTGGACCCAGCCCTATCCTCTGAGCAGTCAGCTACTCTGTTTCTTTTCACTGTTATCTGGGCTGCTTCTAAATTTGGGCTCTGCCTCACAGTATGATGTGGGGAAATATTGATGCTACCCAGAGCTGTCCCGTCCCCAAGGATAGCACAGCCTGGCATTTGGGCCAGAGGCTCCTGCGTGGGTATGCAGATGTGTGTACACCCAGACGCTCCTACATGGGTACACAGATGGCGTGTACACACAGAAAGCTATGTCTGTGGGAGGTGCTTTTGTTTGCCCACTGCCCCAGGTCACCTCCGAGCAGCAGAAGACACACGAGTCCCAGGTGACGCCATCTCTACCCAGGACCTGGGCTGAGCAAGAGCCAGTCTGAGGGGAGGTGACAGGGCAGGTGACTTGTGGTGGCCACGACTCATCTGGGGAAGGGGAATCCCTAGGTCTGGATTCAGGGCTGGGGGTGGTGTCTGGAGCGGCAGGGAGGATGGAGTCAGCCCAAGAAGGAAGAGTAAAGACGGGGGCAGCACTGGCCATCCCCCACCCAAGGAGGGGCCTGCAGCCTGGGCCACAGCCAGGAAGCGACGGAGACCACACACAGCCAGGCGGCCGACCTCTGAGGCCCAGCCCCTCCTGCTGCCCATGCAGCTGCAGACCCCCTCAGGGCCCTCGGCCATAGATGGGCAGCAGGTGGCAGGGAGTAAGCCCCCAGATCCCACCTACCTCCCCCTTGGGGTACCGGTACCGGTACTTGTCTTGGTCTCGCAGGGCAAACTCCAGTGGATAATGGTCCTGAATCTCCTCGTAGGTCATTTCCTCACAGACGCCCTAGGGAGATACCACAGTCATCACAGCGCCCACTCCAGGCCCGGGGGTCGGGGAAGGGCGTTTCCTGGGCCACGGGGGCCTCCTGGCCGGGAGGTTAGAACCCAGCTGGGAAGAGTAGGCGCCCTGCGAACACTAAGCAGGGGGCAGTCTTGCACTTGGAAATAGCTGTCACTAGTCTTTTCTACTCACCCATCATCCATCCAGCCAGCCAGTTTATGACATAAAAATATACATAGAAATGTTAACTAGGTGTCTTTTCTAAAGTGTCTTTTGTTTTCTGTGCTCTAGAAATGCTACAGCAGCGCATGGACTACTGTACAAGTTATTAAGTAAGATTTCACTCGTGTCACTCAGGCTGCAGCATAGAGTCTCTTATACAAATGCCATTTTAAAACAAAGCCAAAGAACCCAGGAAAATGTGTGGTCTGACTAGTGTCACTCCTTCCAAGGCTCAAGCCAAGATCCAGCACACAGGCCATGTCTAGAGAGGAAGCAATTAAACGCCCGTAATAAAAAGCAGGAGTTTTATGGTGTTTGTTTGTTTTCCCTAGACAAAGTCTTGGGCAAAGTTGTCTATCAAAAAGGAAATATAAAGGGGAAAATTTGTATCTGTAAATGTCTATATCAAAACAGAAAGATCTCATATCACTAATCTAAATCTTCTACCCTAAGATACTGGAAAAATAGCAAACTAAGCCCAAAGCAGGCAGGAAAAAACAGTACAAATTCAAACAGAAATTCATGAAATAGAAAACAGAGAATAGATAAAAGCAACAAAATCAAAAGTTGGTTCTTTGAAAAGATAAGAGAAAACTCTTACAAGGATGACAGGAAAAAAGATAGTGCAGATTATTAAACCAGGAATGAAACAGGCATATTATTAAAAAGCTTATAGAGACAAAAAAGATTATAAGGGAATGTTATGAACACTTCTGACTCAACAGACGTGAGTTTGAGCAAACTCTGGGACATAGTGGAGGACAGAGGGCCTGGCTTGCAAAGGGTTGGACATGACTTAGTGACTGAACAACAATAAAATGCCAAGAAATAAGAAAACTCAGATCAAATGGGAAAATTCTTACAAAGATACAAACTACCCATTTTGAGATGAATGTGTTCTCCCAAAAGACATGCTGAAGTCCTCGACCCTGGGAACTGTGAATGTGACCTTATTTGGAAATTGTCTTTGCAGATATAATCAAGTAGATGAGGTCCAATGACTGGTGTCCTTTTAAGAAGACCATGTGAAGACACAGGGAGACACATACAGGGAAGAAGGCCACATGATGAGGGGGACAGGGACTAGAGTGATGCACCAATAAGGCAAGGAATGTCAAGGATTGCTGGCAGTTACTAGAAATTTGGTAAAAAGATGCACATTATTAGGAGGAATTCCCTGGCGGTTTAGTGGTTAGGGCTCTGTGCTCTCATTGCTGAGGGCCTGGGATCAATTCCTGATCAGGGAACTAAGATCCTGCAAGTCAGATGCAGCCAAAAGAAATGATTAGGGTGATGGCTCAGAAAGAAATGAAGGACAGTAGAGAAGCCTCTATCATCCTAGGGAATACATATATCATCATGAACAGAATGTTGCTAGAAATATGAATGTTTAGGCATTTCCTTGGAGGTTCGGTTGGTAGGGCTCTGCTTTAATTGCCACGGCCCCAAAGAGGAACTAAAGAGCCTCTTGATGAAGGTGAAAGAGGAGAGTGAAAAAGCTGACTTAACATTCAACAAGCAAAACAACAAAAATCATGGCATCTGGTCCCATCACTTCACGGCAAATAGATGGGGAAACAATGGAAACAGTGACAGACTTTTTTTCTTGGGCTCCAAAATCACTGCAAATGGTGACTGCAGCCATGAAATTGAAAGACACTTGCTCCTTGGAAAAAAAGCTATGGCACACCTAGACAGCGTATTAAAAAGCAGAGACATCACTTTGCCGACAAAGGTCAGTCCAGTCAAAGCTGTGGTTTTTCCAGTAGTCCTGTACGGGTCTGAGAGCTGGACCATAGAGAAGGCTGAACGTGGAAGTATTGATAATTTGTACTGTGGTGCTGGAGAAGACTCTTGAGAATCCCTTGGACTGCAAGGAGATCAAACCAGTCAATCCTAAAGGAAATCAATCCTGAATACTCATTAGAGGGACTGAAGCAGAAACTAAAGTTCCAATACTTTGGCCACCTGGTACGAACAGCCGACTCATTAGAAAAGACCCTGATGCTGGGAAAGATTGAAGGCAGGAGGAGAAGGGGACGACACAGGATGAGATGGTTGAATGGCATCAACCACTCAATGAACATGAGTTTGAGTAAGCTCTGGCAGATGAAGGAGGACAGGGAAGCCTGGCGTGCTGCAATCCATGGGGTCACAAAGAGTTGGACATGACTGAGTGACTGAACAACTGAACAACCATGAAAAGATGACTAACAGGTCATAGATATTATCAGTAGACTAGTTTCCAAACTACAGATAAAGAAGGGGATACACAGCATGTAAGAAAACAGTCAGATTAACTTCAAAGAAAAAAGAAAAATCAAGGGTTCTCTGCAATACCAAGTGTTACAGCCACATCCTTATCCCTGAAAGGTATATATCAGATCTCTCACCTGAGTCAGGGAGCTGTTATCTATCTGCATGAGAAAAAAGTCGGGGCTGGAAACCTCCCAAAACTTCCACCAACCACAACTGATGAAAGCCCACAGAATGGGTTAAAGGACCTATAAAATGGGTCCAAAAAATTGCTTACTCTTTTGAAAGAGTTCATCAACTTTAAAGAGCTAAAACATGGAGAAGGGAATGGCAACCCACTCCAGCATTCTTGCCTGAAGAATCCCACGGACAGAGGAGCCTGGAAGGCTGCAGTCCATAGGGTCACAAAGAGTCAGACATGACTGAAGCAACAGCATGCATGCACATATGTATACTCTACATTTTAAAAACAATTTAAAAAAAGAAGAGCTAAAACAGATTAAAAAAATAAAACCATGATGCTATACTCTGCCCAATGACAGTAATGGAAAAAAAAATAAGCTGATGGAAACAAACAGAAATAATACGTCCTCATAATTCCCAATAGTGTCAAGAATTGTTTTCCTGTTACTAATTTTGATAAGTATATTTTAGTTATTCCTTTATTTACAAGAATTCTACTTAAGAATGTCTTTGAAAAACTGTAAGTAATGAACATTGGAATAATAAAAAACAATGCTTGCCTTCCAAATCACAGAAAAGATAATGTTTATACAGGGGAAAAAATGAAGAGAAATTTGCAAGCCATTGGGTAAAAAAAAGGACAAAGACAGCAACTGTAATAATAAATACAAATGGGTTTAAATCCCTAAATGAAAAAAGTTCTCAGGTCAAAAAATAAACCAAAGATGTGGTCCTTTCATCTAAAGAAATGACATAAAAGAGGTTAAAAATAAAAGAGAGTGGGGCTTCCCTGGTGGTTCAGTGGTAAAGAATCGCCTGCCAATGCAGGAGACACAAGTCCAATTTCTGATCTGAGACGATCACACATGCCGCAGAGCAACTAAGCTACCAGCAACTAAGGCCCCACAACTATTGATCCTGAGCTCCAGAGCCTGGGAACTGTAACTACGGTCCATGTGCTGCACCTACTGAAGTCCGTGCACCCTAGAGCCTGTGCTCAGCAACAAGAGAAGCCACCCCAATGAGAAGCTCGAGAATTGCAACAAAGAGGAACCCCCACTCACTGCAACTAGAGAAAGCTGGCACCGCAACAAAGACACAGTGCAAACAAAAATAAATAGATTTTTTAAAAATAATAAAAGGGAGTAAGCATAGCCAAAAAATATGGACGAAAAGCAAGGATGGCAAATTAAAATCAAAATGAGATATCACCTCATACTCATCAGGTCTGACAAAAAAAAAAAACCAGAAAAATAACAAGTGTTGGCACAGATATGGAGAAATTAGAACCCTCATACACTGATGGTAGAAATTAATAAAGGTGGAGTTGCTGAGGAAAAAAATACAGCGGTTCCTCAACTAAATGAAAATAGAATTACCATATGATCCAGTAATTCCACTTTTACATATGTACCAAAAAGAAATGAAAGCAGTGTCTCAAAGGGATATTTATACACCCATGTTCTTAGCAGCCCTATTCACAATAGCTAAAAGGTGGAAACCACCCAAATGTTCATAGATAAAATGAGTGGATAAGCAAAATGTGGTATGTACATACCGTGGAACCATAATCAAACTTTAAAATGTGATCCTGACATATGCTACAACATGGATGAACCTTGAGGACACTATGACAAAAGAAAGAAGCCAGTCACAAAAAGACAAATAATACATGATTCCACTTATGTGATAGATCACTCAGAGACAGAAAAATCATACAGACAGAATCGAAGAGACGGAAAAGGGAATGGTAGTTGTTAGAGGCTGAGTGGGGAGGAAAAATGGGGGTTATTGCTTAATGGGTACAGAGCTTCCATTTTTCAAGATGAAGAGTTCTGGAGGGGACTTTCCTGATGGTCCAGTGGCTGGGACGCTGTGCTCCCAATGCAGGAGACCTGGGTTCAAGCCCTGGTCAGAGAATTAAATCCCAAATGCCACAACTAAAGACTCCACATGCTGCAACTGAGAGCTGGTGCAACCAAATTAAATAAAAATAAAATAAATATATGTTTTTTAAATTCTGGAGATGGACAGTGGTGATGATTGAATATTATGAATGTACATAATACCACTGCACTGTGTGTTTAAAAATGGTGACTGGGACTTTCCAGGTTATCCAGTGGTTAAGACTTCCACTGCATGGGGCACAGGTTTGATCCCTGGTCAGGGAACTAAGATTTGGCATGCCACATGGCACAACCAAAATAAATTTTAAAAGGTGGTTAAGATGATAAATTTTATGTTATTTGTATTTTACAAAAAAAAAAAAAAAGGAAAAAAAAACATCAGAATGATAATATTCAAATTGGTCAAAGTATAAATCCATGTAAAAAGTATATGAT